TACTCAGGAAAGCATTGAAAAATGAAGGATCCACCACATTGCTTCATAGTTTGTTCCAGTGATCAAGCAGCTGTACTTTTACAAATGCCATCTTGTTTTAAATTTGAATTTGTCTGACTTCTATTTCCATCTACTCTTCATGCCTTTCTCTGTTAGACTGAAGTGCCCTTTGTTTCCTATTTTCTCCCTGAGGAGGTTCTGACACATCACAACCATATTTTCTGTCAGTCAGCTTTCTTTTCAATAAACTAACACTGGGAGATTTTTAAAGCTTAAATAGAAGTGCTAGCCCTCAATAATGCCTTTTTCTCTTTCAGTACTCCATTTTTTCCTTCTTCCTTTCAAAATTGCGAGTCGTACATCATGAGTGTCAGTCTCAGCAATGCCGTATACAAAGCTCAGTGTTACGCTTATCTCTGTTCATGTGTATTCAAAGATCCTGTGGAAGCAGATGATGAGCTTTTCACTGTGATTTCCAGTGTCATTGCTTTCCAGGGAATTAAGTGTTGCTTTTGCCCTCTGCACTCGATGTAAAAACTCAACACTGCACGGACTTTGTATACAGACAGTTAAAGGGAGCCGGCCAACAGAAGAGGCCGGGTTGCTCTGCCCTTGTCAGTATTCACCCGCAGGCTGCCAGCTGCAGATTTTATCAGCAGCAACTGGATACTTTAGCTCGGGGTCAATGACTGAAAGAATGGATAACCTCTTTCCTAGCAACTCCAACAAACAGAAATCAGCAGGGATTTCTTAGAGCGATATTTTTTATGATCTACTACTAAATCACTTCACTAGTTATAAGGTAAGCGTAAGGAACATTTTTTAGAATAATATTGTTCAGATGGAAAGCACCATGGTAAATGTGGAATACACTAAAACGAGATTAGGCCTTTTCTCATTCCAAGCAGAATGCTGATTAACCTATTCATTACACTGAAGTGGTGAAGTATAAATTATTTATGAGAAAAGGAATTTATTTTTCCTCATTTTGGGCTCCAGTCATTACAAATTTGGCTCTGCAGCCACAGCTGTTTCTTTTAGAAACTGAATAGCTGAGAAAAACAGGCCAAGTAGAACACAATTCTGATTTCAATTGCAAATACTTAGAAATTTAAAGAAAGCCAGCAGGTAAAAGCATTGGGTATTTTTTATTGCTCCAGTGAAAACTCAATCACTAAGATAAAGCCAAACTATCAAGGTGCCACAATCACTACAATTAAACATATTCAATTATGTGAAAGAAAAGATGAGGACATGGGCTAGGTAGTGCAGAGCTGTCACCCCACAGGACCCTCCGGAGAGAAGAACTGAGAAGCAGCAATAATTTTTTAACAGCACTGATGGACTCTTGCTGGATTTAAACAGACTTCAGACATACTTGTTCTCCAAGTGATAAATGTCCATGCTGAAACATCACGGCAGTAAACAAGAATGAAGAAGAATGGGAAAAAAAGAATAGAAAAAAAAAAAAAATTGACAAACCTGTGGTGCCAAAATGATAAGGTTCTATCTAAGGTATGAGTGTAAGTTTGACATCTCAGCAGAATTTCTTGGTGATGTTACTGTTTTATAACATTTTTTGACTGGACTATGTCAATGTGGAGAAGTATTCATGGGGAAGTAATTATCAAACAAACTGGAATCTAACCAGTTTCAGTTCATTGTGCATTTCAGGTCCCCCAGGGCCTGACTAAGGGAGAGGCTAGGCTAACTTTTTTCTATTGGTCTTTCATTGACAGCAGTAGGACTATTCAATGCACTGTCACATAGAATTTGGATTAGTGTGCATCCAGGGCTATACCAATTTACTCTAGCTGTTATCTGACCTATTATTTCAATGTCAATTTACAAACTGATTTTACTTTTTACAGGCTTGTCTACAAAAAGACCAAGCTGAATCAGCTACTAGAGTGTATATATAGGGCTGCATCTAAAAGAAGTATATGCCCTCAGCTGAGGTAATTCACATCGATCCTAAATTGTCACTTCTTGGCTATGCAGTTCTGGGTGCTGTCTGCCTTTGTAAGGAATGAATGCAGTTCATGACATCAAAAATGCTGAAATTTTAAAGAAAAAGTACTTACTGCATCTATATGTCTGTATATGCTATAGGTATGGAACCTTTAACAGCACAGATCATCTTATTTTTCAGTGTGCAAAGAAAACCTCAACAGGAGAATAATGTTCTGGCTGAATCCTGAATGTTACTGATTGGTTTCAGCACTCAACCAAATGAGTAGAAACTGAGATTGTGCAGAGAACAGTTTGCAAAACAGAGCCACCCTGTGCATCTGAGAGTAAAACCTGCAGTTGAAACAAAAATATGAGGCCACTAAGGGGACCTGTTTATTCCTCAAGAAACCATCTCCCATTGCTGATATCACCCCAAATCTAACTTCATTCTTAGAATCATAGACTCATAGAATCATAGAGTGGTTTGGGTTGGAAGGGACCTTTAAAGGTCATCTACTCCAACGCCCCTGCAATGAGCAGGGACATCTTCAGCTGGATGGATCAAGAAAATCCATCAAGATACATCTGACCAGTCCTCTCCAGTGTAATTTGGATCTGCACATGTTGTCAAACGTGCTTTTTGCCTGGCTACTGAATGGAGGCTGCACTGGTGTGACCAGCAGAACTCACGGCAGGAGCGTGCAGCGTTGGGCTGTTTGCATCAGAGAGCAGCCTGTGTTACGCTGAGATGGGAGCCGCTGGTGCGTGTCTGGAAGGCAGTCACTCCCCTTCCTTCTGGGTCTCTGAATGCTCTTGCATTTTAAGCCAGTCTGGGCAGAACTTTACAACTTATTTTTGGAAGCATATGAAAGAGCCGTTTGTCAAGCCTTTAACTTCAGATTGGTTAGCAGCACTTTCTGAAAATTCATACGGCATTCAGTCTTTCTTCTGTGCCAAGCATGAACTGCCTACAGAGGAAAACTACGCCCCACTTCCAGCAACTGCACTTCAACTGTCACATTCTAGATGGAATCTCAAATGTTTACTTATCAGACAACCAGCCTTCCACAGTTCAGTGTGTGAATACCTTAAGTCTGGCCCTCTTCCACCACAGTGAAGGAAATCAAGTGGAAGCTCTGGAGCAAGTTATTGTGTGCCCATGACACACTGCAGCCATTCATCAAGCAAAGACTCGTAAAGTCACATGCAAAATATCGAAGAACATCAGCAAAGACCTCTAAGACAAAAGAGTAAGAATACGGAGGATATTTTACAGCCTTGCCATACATTAAACATACATTCAGCTAGGGTACGTTCTGCTAGATTGCGTGAAGAAACATTCTGTACTCCATCCGTTACTAGCATTGGGTAAATCAAGTCTAGAATGAAGAGATGAGAACAGATATAAGTATATGCAATTCAAACAGAACATAGTCATTGCAAATGAAGTTGCAATCAAACATTGAATTAACATACTCAATGCAAAAAAAGTTTTTAAAAACCAAGATGGACTTTTAAGTGGAAGAAAGTTTTCTTCTTTCTTGCATCCTCCATTATTTAACAGCATAGAGGCAACGACATACGGCAAGCATGCTCAAACTGGCGTGAAGGTGTATTTAAGACAGTACAGCACAGGTCCTCAGAAGGAGTATCTGTGCGCTGCAGTAGATCCCTGATCCCGGCTCCTGCGGTGTTCCAGTCTCAGCAGCAATTCGGTCTTGCCTAGGTAAGAGGTGTTCGTGACCGGTTACCTCTCGTCCCACTGAGCGTCAGTATTGCCCAGTTTACATTGACTTTTGTCACGTGCCAGACTTTGCCTTGGCCTGTTGCTGGACTCCTCTCTCCCATCTGTTCCCCAGCTCGCAGTCTGAGCGGGGAAGTTAACGAAACACTGTCAGCCTGGCACCGACAGCCCTGCTGCTGCCGTTTCAGGCCAGCCCTGTGCAGGGGACCGGCTCGGGTGGCCGCAGCCCCAGCTGCCTGACTTCCCGGGCAGCAGGCAGCCTGGGCCCGCAGCCTTGGCTCGGCAGCGGAGCCCATCGCTTTTCTCTCGGGCGGGCGAGGGAGCGGGAGGCAGCGGCGGGGGTGCGGGGCGGGGCCTGAGGCGCGGCTGCCCCCGGGCGGCCCCGCGGGAAAGGGCGCAGAGCCACAGGCACCGCTTTCGGAGCAGCTGGAGGACAGCCCCCCGCCAAGCGACAGCGTTGAGTATTCTTCTAATTAGGAGGATTAAGATTTATGTTGAGGCAATTAATTTTTCACAGTAGCCGAGTCACAACAGTATCTAATTGCTCATTCAGTTCCCGCTTATGTTTTCTCCTCCACTTCATAGTCTATTAGACACTTACCTCAAATTGAAGCTGGCAAAAATTAAACATTCTCACTTCAAAGCCTCTTTATTCATCACCATTATTTTTGCAGCTATTTATAGACCTGGCTGATGTTGCAATTCCAGATACGAGAACTTAAAATGTGTCATCTTAAGAGACTGATGTTGGCAAATTATTGTATCACACTTAAATTTCAAAAGGCCCCAAAGATCCACATAATTAAAAATTACCAGTAATATGAGCAAAGCTAGAAAACAGTAGTTGTTGTGGATCAGAATAGTGACTCTTTTTAATTAAAGTAAATGTGAAAAGAAGAGAGAATAATTGATGAAAGACATGACTGCCTTTTTTGTTTGAAGAATTCATCCTCCTATGAATTACTTAGTGAATATTTGCAATACAAGTCAGAGACTTCAAACCACTCACACTCTAGCAAAGAAGCACCAAGAGGAATGCCACCAACAGTGTCACGTAGTCTTAACTTCATGCTGTTCAGCTACTTCGGGAAAATTAGAAAGGATACGCTCAGTAGCATATCATATCCCATTTTCCACAGACTTTTTTCCCACTTCTGCATTTCTAGTTAACACACTTGTTAATCACACTTCTTTTATGAAAATCTGAGCAAGTTTGTACAACTGTATAAAATTATAGATTATTAAAAACTGGAATAGGTGACACCATATTACAGTGCATTGAGAGAGAAAAGAGCCTTAGAACCACAAGTCGACAAAATTTTTTATTAAAATAACACCAAGTTTAAGAAATCAATGCAGTGCAAAGAAACTTCAACTCATCATACAAAAAAAATAATGATTTTCCATCCTTAAGTATGGAAACTGCATTCCGATCCTGACATGATTGACATAATACAGAAACAGCAACACTGTATCCCAGATGAAGGTCAAAGTTAAAGACTGGCGTGCTGGGCAAGGAAGGTTCTTATTCTTTGCAAGAGTTCTTTCTTTACGCTGTCTGGTACCAAGGCTGAAACACAAGTAAGAAAGCAGGAAGTAAAAAAGACAAAATGGAAAATACGCTAATACCAACCTTTTACAACAGCTACTTCTATTCTTTGTTCTTGCAATTCTGTTAATACCGAAAGTAAATGAGGCTACTTGATTTTTATATAGCATATCTATATTTCTCCCATTTAAAATAGGCTAAAATTGAAGTCTATTGAGAACCCTGTTGTTATTGTTGTTTGGGTTTTTTGCCTAGCCATAGTCAAGAAAATTGGAAAGTTCGAGGGAGAGGATTATTCAACAGTAAACAGGATCTAATCATCAGAAACTAGTTTGATTATCCTACTTTTCTTCTTCACAAACTTAAGACAAAAAAAAAATCTCAGCTATGACCTCAGAGTAAGGGTCTTCAGCAAGTTATTTTGAAGGCTGATTTTTATTTAAGACTTAATGAAGTTTCTCCCACTAACACCAAAGCCTATTAGAGAGTCCAAAAAGAACTACATAAAGACTGCAGTATTTCCTTAAGAGATTCCATTTTTCCGTATCTGGACACTACGTCCTTTCCTTTTGCCGCTTCGCATTACACAAGTACTGTTAGTCCAGATTTTCCATCTTAAAAAGAACTGGAATTTTAAAACATCTCTGCCTCATACCCCAAGTTCTCTTGGGACCATTAAGTCAACTATAAAGATAAATACAGACTCATGACTAAATAATGTAACCTGCACAAGTAGTCTACACACACAGCTCATCACAGATTTTGAACGGCTGTTACACAATATGAATTCAGATGTTTTACTTGTAGTTCATATCAAGCTATTAACATCTTTCCTTGAAGCTATTATCATCTTTCCTTGAATCCAACACAGGTAAATTCATAGTACTGCTTTGAAAATATTAATGAAATACAGGTAGGTATGTTTATTGAGGTACTACCACATCCATGTTTGCATTTTCTTACCTCTGCCTTTAGGAGTGATTTCTGCCACCAAATCATCAACAGTAACATGCTCCAATCCTTTTTCTTTAATGACATCTGGGGAAGACCAAGGTAAGTATTTTAAGTCTTTTAATCCATTCATTAGAAGACAAAACCTGTGCCAATGATTAAGAGACAAAACCTGCATGCCCAGGTCATCAGAGAAGATGAAGTAGCTTGTGACCTAAATGTAGGTTATTAATTCAGTACCTACACTGCATTGTACAGTGGATTTAGTCTCTCATTCATACCATAGGTTTAAGGATGGGAACTTGTCACTACTGATGCATCTTGATCAGCTCACATTTAAAAATCAAACTTTACCAAGTTTAAGCTTATCTGAACATTACCAGATCTGCATATTACTGGAGTGTTGTAGCAGTTCACAAGTTGGTCTGCTTATCTCTTCAAATACATTATTTACATAATAGTGAGAAAGAGGTGCAATTGGAAAAAGACTTTGGAACATACAAGAGAGAGCACAGAGACAATAAATACTTACTACTCTTCCTAACTGGTTTAAACAGCATCTCTCTATATATTTCAGCAAAGTAAAAAAGCGTCTCTGAAAGAAAGGTATACATCTACAGCAAAATAAAAGCTATGATTAAGATATACTGTGTGATTAATACATACCAGTATTTAAACAAATTGTCTACTTACAGTGCCTCAAAGACTACTGAAAAATGCAGAATTCAATGCTGAGAAGAAACCTCAATTCAGTAGCATAAACCTAAAATATTTTGTCTAAACATGAATATTTTTAACTATATGTCAGTACATAGGATTGATTGTCCCCAAGACACTAAATATGTTTTCTGAACTGACATCACGTGGACTATTTGTAAACTTTTTCTTGGCTGAATTCCCTGTAGAAATTGATCCTGGATTGCTCAATTATTGGCCCTAATCCATAATGGCAAGAGGCTCTAGAACAAGCTACCAAAAAACCCCCATACCCTAACAAAACAACAACAACAAAAACCCCCAAATCCTTCTCTGTCCTTTCTGTTGCAGGTTATTAGGCCCTTAACAGGGATAACAGAACTTATTTTTGCATTCTCAGCAGCTGCAGTTACAGTTCAAAATTGTAATGTAAACCAAACAACTTTACATAACTTTACTATAGCAGTTTATAAAGTGTATAGTTGAGAAGGCAGATAAACATCCCTTTCGCTATCTGTACTACTGAAATGTGTAATCTCTGGCAGTGGCATCAGGCAGACAACTGAAAGCATGAGTCATTTCAGCCTTCTCTGCAAATCCACCTATGAAAACAACTTAACACACTCAGCCCTACAAAAAACAAACAAAAAAACCCAACCAAACAAAAAACTTTGTAATGGAATGTTGAATTGCTGGGCACAACAGACCAAATCAGAATTAAAGCAAAAGCTCAAGGGATTTTGCTTTAAGGAAATATCATCATGCGGTAATATTCCTGGATGCTTACATAGTATTTATAACAGTTTCATACAATTCAAAAGTCAGTAAATTGTAGTAATACTGAATACTTCACTCAAAACTAAAGATTTGGGTATTCGGAGACTCATCTGCTTGTTTTCTCTCATCTGAGTTGATGATCTTATTTTCAAGAATTGTATTGAGAAAGAGTACAAATGCACTTCTTTCTCTCCCACATGCAGACAACAAAGTTCTCTAAAGTTTCTAAGTTGCAAACTACTGCATTTGCTCCATTTTCCTTTATCTTGGTTTTTATTCTCCTGTGGTAAGAAAGTGATCCCTCTCAAAACAAAAAGCTGTATCATGATGAATATTTAGGGAACCAATTCCAATACTTCTCTCAGGAGCTTAATAAGTTTCAGATCAGAGAAAAAGTTTCAAGATTTTTTTTGCCAAGATGGCAAGATGCTTTCTTGCATGCAAAACCAACTGCCAGAGATAATTTCCTCTTGCCCAAGTCTCACTTAAATGGAGTGTTAGGCAATGAAGCTTTCATCTGTGACTTTTATTTGGCCAGACCCTCAGCTGATTACAAAGAATATTAGTTATTTGACCACCGTTACCTTTGCAGTGTGCCTTCAACTGATCCTTCCAGCCGCATTCAATTAATTTGGCTCTCAGCAACTCTTTAAGGCTGTTAAGACAATATACAAACTTGTTAGCAACGGCAAACATTCCTGACAGCTTAAATATGCTTCAGTGTGAAAGTTAAGCTTGCAATTACTACTTATAGCAGAACTCCCAGACCAGCAGCAGAAATGGCTGAACACCATGTGAATCCTAACCCGAATGAGTACCAATTTCAGTTTACCATGTTGGCCTATGAGGAGTCGGCAGCTCAGGAGCTAATTCACAGTATTTCTTCAGGCAGCATTGATGCTGCAGCCACAGAAAAGAGGTAGATGCCCTTGAATCACTTGAACTGCCCGAGTCTACTCTGTTAGCAAATGTATGCTAACTTTCAAAGTTAAAATATTTCACCTGAAACCAGGCCTTCAAAATAAATAAAACTTTCCCCGCTCGTTTCTGAAAGGACAATTCTGTACTACTGTCTTCAGCTGTAGGTTTCTCTCCCCAGTTACGCTACATCGTGCTGGGTGAAGACAAAGGGATTGTGTATCTTAGCTTCCTAAGTGTGGTTAGCGATTATAAGCATAAGCAACAAGGATTCGGGCACTAAACAGAGAAGACACACAACAACCTGCCGCAAGGATACGTCTACTCCATATATCAAAAGAGAATATTGAAAGCTAGCTAAAAAAGTAAAAATTAGTACTGAAAAACAGAAGAGAAAATGAAAGTAAGATATTATAAAATAAGCTTTAATATCTTCATCCTTTATTCTATCAGCTAGCAAGCCTACTTATTTTGTACCATCCTAAATATATCGAGCAAAATTCTGTTTTTATGAATGAAAGGATTGCAGTAAGAGGCTGAATTGTGTAGGTCCAATCCTTTTAGAATTGTGAATCCCTCTGTGAATTGTGTGGAGGGCAGATGAACTGACGACAAAAAGCAGAGTAACAATACAGGTGAATTTCACTGCTTCTGGGTATTTCTTAATTCCAGAAATCTGAGTGCTCTGTCTCTGATCATAGTACAGCTCTCATAAAGCTTGTTTATAATACAGCTTTTGACATCCAGTCAAAACTCTTCTTACTCTTAAATGAGAGTAAAATAGGTCCCAATACCATTTCAAGAAATTGCTTGCTCTGCTGAAGCTCCGTGCAGTCTCCAAGGGGATGGTCACAAGCACGAAAGAAGTAGAGCACAGGCACCACGTCAGTCTACAAAAGGTTACACTAGGTACAGAGCTATGCGATGACCTAGGAAGAAGGCTCCTTCTCATACAGGCCTTGAAAAATGAAGGAAATAGAGCTTTTGGTGCATGGTGTCACAAATGTAGTGAAATGATGAGGAGGGACACATCATAAGCACGCTAGTGATATGTAAATACAACACAAATAGAACAGGTTGCAGAGACAACAAAAGGCCAAAAACTAGCTGCCACACTACGTTGCATAATTTACTTGTTTGCCTTTATTGGGATCTCTACAATGACTTGTACAAGTGCTGTTTTAAGTGTTCCACTGTATAGTTCTTTATAACAAGAGAAGAGATAGGAACACAAGAAAAACTTAAAAGCAAAAAGGAAAGTTTTGTCTCATTCTCTTTATCAGGAAATAACACGATTTAACTGCAACAAATTGCACTGAATGGTGATTTTTATATGAACAAAGAACCTTCCGGCACAATATACCAGAATAAGAAAAAGCTTTAGAGTTCATAAGCCAACCACCCCATCCTTTATTTTCCCAGCTTCTCAAGTGTAAAGCTAAAATAAAACTGTTCAAAAGGCAAAAAAAAAATTTTATATAGCTTTATAGCATACACAAGACTTTTACATACGAGCATTTGAAGAATTTAGAGTTAAGTTTACTTAATCTTTACTTGTAGGTATACTTCACGTTTGCTAATATTTAAAGCCTCTTACTGGCAGGGAGGAGGAAGCCCACTTACCGTTCTCGCTCTCCTGTTTCTATTAGCTTTTGGTTAATGGTTGCTCTCATCTGGGCATCTTTATTCATTTTGGAAATCTAGGTTTTTCACAAACCTACACAGAGCAGAAGAGAGTTTTGACAAATACTGGCGTCACCAACACCACAAAACGAAGTCACTTGCACAGAACTGCCCGCGGTGCCGTGCCCACTGAGGCACCCCCGCAGTCAGTGCCGGAACACCAGTACGCGACCAGCTCTGGTGACGAGCGGGCACGCAGCCGCACCGGGACGCCGCTCACCCGGCCGCCCTAGCGCCAGGGGACCGGCAGCTCACCGGGCCGCTTCCGCGGGCGCGGCCTCCCCGCAGCCCGACCCTCGCGCCCGGCGCCTCTCGCGCCC